GCTGAAATCAACACTGCCAGTTAAGTGGGACTTGTCCTCCAAACTTTAGCTTTCTCAAGAAAGGATCTCCAGGCCCCCACGTTCCCAGAGTTAGTCATGTTTAGTGACGTGTTCTTATTGGACTGTTGGCATTTATCAAACATGAACCTTCGTCTTAAAGCTGGGTCACCATCCCAGACACATCTTTCTTCCTTCAAGGTAATATTATTTCAGAATCTTCCCTGGCTTTCCTTACTACTGGAACTTGGTTTGTCTGGGTTCTTTTTCCATTGCAATTATTTTCCTCAACCTTGGATTTTGGAATCCAAGGATATGACAACTCAGCTTTTGTAAGTTGATACAGATCTTCCAAAGTGAAATTTGCTGCATAACAAGAGCCAAAGTAGTTTCTGCCAAGCTTGCTAAAGGAAAATAAAATTTAACAACAAAAAATGGCATTTTCAAATTCTACATTTGAAACACAAAGGAGAACACAAAAAAGATTGTTTTCCAGAATAAAGATATGCATGAAAGTGATTTCTATTCCTATCCCTAGATACTAGATACTAGAAAAGTGGGCATAAATTTTACATTTTTTTTTTTTGAGATGGAGTTTTGCTCTTGTTGTCCAGGCTGTAGAGCAATGACACAATCTCAGCTCACTGCAACCTCTGCCTCCTGGGTTTAAGAGATTCTCCTGCCCTAGCATCCCAAGTAGCTGGGATTACAGGCAACTGCCACTATGCCCAGCTAACTTTTGTATTTTTAGTAGAGACAGAGTTTCACCCTGTTGGCCAGGCCAGTCTCAAACTCCTGACCTCAAATGATCTGCCTGTCTTGGCCTCCCAAAATGCTGGGATTACAGGTGTGAACCACTGTGCCTGGCCAAGTTTACATAATTCTTACCAACAAGGTACCCTATTTAAAGGAACATCCTGCTAAATAAATACAAGAAAAAAACAGAAACAGAAATTAACATGTAATAGAAATCTTATGGCACAACCACAATTCTAAAGTGAAAGTTTTAACACAGTTATCTCAGAAACTGATATATGACATAAAGGTACATCATAAATGTAGAAAAAATTTGGATACAAGTTCTGTGAGACATATATTTTGTATTTAAGGGCCTTTTATCCGATCAAAATTAAATATGTTCAGATACTCAAGAAATATTTAAATACAAAAACTTATAATACTGCAAGTGATACACAAAGCTCATAAAATCACACAAAATAAAGCAAATAGAAAAATTATGTGAAAACAATAAAATAACAAGAAATTAAGACAAATATCCAAAAATAATTTAGAAATTAAATATATGTAGTATATCTTCTCAATAATTTGAATTATAGAGAAAACTAAAGCCAAAATTAGAAATACATATATGCATTTATTTTATTTTATTTTACTTTCAAGATGGAGTCTTGCTGTGTTGCCCAGGCTGGAGTACAGTGGCATGATCTTGGCTTACTGCAACCTCTGCCTCCTGGGTTCAAGCAATTCTCCTGACTCAGCCTCCTGAGTAGCTGGAATTACAGGCACCTGCCACCATGCCCAGCTAACTTTTTTTTCATTTTTAGTAGAGACAGAGTTTCACCTTGTTGGCCAGGCTGGTCTTGAACTCCTGACCTTGTGCTCCACCCGCCTCAGCCTCCCAAAGTGCTGGGATTATAGGAATGAGTAACCACGCCCAGCCAGGAATATTTTAAGTGACTGAAATTGAGAATACTTCTGTACATGTTATCTATTGCACTTAAAATTACACACACACACACACACACACACACACATATCCTTTATTTACTGGAAAATACAAAGCACTAAAACATAAATTAGCTAATAAAATTAAATTTTAAAACAATTAAATGACAACAATAAAATGAAACTAAGAGCTAGTTCTTAAAAAAAAAAAGACAGATGAAAGTCAAACTTTGAATTATCTGACCATACATAATATAGAATAACAGTAATATGAAAGCTAATGCGCCTATAGATAGAAGTTTTTAAAAGGCAAATACTCTATGACAATGAGTTTAAAAATAAATTGAGATTTATGTATCTATATGTATTTTATATATATAGCATACATATGTATGCATTCTTATGTATGTGGATATATAAAACTATATTTTTATATAAAACTAATTGAGATATGTATGTATATTATATATATATATATATTTCAGGACAAACATCAAAAATATCAATTCTTAAATATAAGTAATAAGAACTTTTAAAAATCGAAGAAAAAAATTCATCAATTAGCCAAAAACTTCTATAATATCTTTAAAAATGAAAAAGTAAAATAGTATGTTAAGTGGGTTATTCAGAAGGGAAATTACCCATTAAAGTAATTGAAATAAACCCATGAACAAAACGTATAAATTCAGGAGAAAACTCATAAGCAGGAGAGCAACCCCAGAAATATAGAACGCTTTGATTATTGTCTTCTTTTTTCATCCCAAAAATTAGCAAAGATGATAGTGTGGTTTAGATAAAATAGAGTCATCGCCTCAATGAAGGGCTGACACTCAGCTCTGCTACTGCCATCTACTCTGGCACTAGAACCTCTGAATTGGCATTAATGACAGTATTATCAGTTTAAACTTTGACAATGAAGTAAACAATAATTAGAAGCAGAATCACAATTGGCTGACTAACCTTATCCTGAGAGGTATCAGGAGAGGAGATTGAGAGTGATTTATGCCACAAGGGATGACATCCAAGGGAATGAGGGTTTTTTTTTTTTATAAATACAAGTAGTATCTTGAGCCTACGTGCTTAAAATCACTTCTTGATGAGGTGAAAACCTTTTCAGCTACCTCTGGCCAGTGATAAGTCATGTGTCAGTTATCTCCAATGCTCACCTGTTGTATTTGAGAGTACCTGAAACCTGGAAAGTACATGGGCTTGTGAAGTGTAGGAATATGTGGTTCTCCTGCCTTGGGACATAAACTGTGGCAGCTGCCCACAAGTTAAAACCTTTTCTGTACTTCCTATTATAACTAAGAATGCTGGACCCTCCTAGAGGAACCACCAGTGGGAGTTAACAATCAAAACATGGAAAACAATAAAAACATGTTAAAGCACATTGCTGAAAAACTGAATAAATATACAAAAATGTTCAGGGGAGGGGGAGATTGCAGGAGGAAGGCTTGGGAAGATTTATAAATATGAAATGTTCCAAAATTATAATGATGACAATTGCCAACCAAATGTACCCATAAATTTAAAACATTCTAAATTCAAATCCCTTTTTTTTTCTTTTTAAGGAACTTGGTTCTAAAATTCATCTAGAAAATTTCATGTGAAAAAAGGGAAAATACATGTTTTTTAAAATGTAGATGGACCTTTTAAGTGTGAAATTAGAAGTATTAATATAAAGACCATAATGGCCCACAAAAAAGGGAACTACCTTACTCTGAAGAACAGGTGAGGAAAAGTGGATTTTTCAGAGGCATCTTGAGAAGGAGAGAATTGGAAACAAACAAGGAGCATATTAAAATTATGTGAAGAGATTATAAAAAGAGGGTACACATATTATGCAAATAGTCTTGGGACTGGAGAAAATAGCAAAACATGAGCAATTTCTACTGGCTGAAGTGACTAAGAGACTTCTAAAGACAGGAATTTCATTTTAGTCCCTTCCAATAGCCCAATCTTCCAGAAAAACACTCAAAATCATGAAAGACATAAAGAAATCCAGAAAAAAATTTTAAAAATAAGTCATTTCAGACGAGTGTGCTCACTCCTCTCCCCCTCCCCCACCACCAAAAACATTCTAGAGATAAATTGACAATGCATTTCTCATTAAATTGAGTGGTACCCCAGAAGCCTATTTTTAAATAGTAAAGATGACTCTACAAAGCAAAAAGGATTCTAGGACACCGATGCTGACAGTGAGATTACAGGTCCATAAGACTGCAGAAATAAAAACCATGAAAAACGATGTAAAACACACCAATAATTTGATGAGACTAAATAGAATCCAAGATCAGAGTAATTCATACGTAAGAATGTTTTCAATAATAAAGAAGCCATTCAAAGTAGGATGGGCCATTCAGTAATAAGCATTGCAATGATTATTTATGCATTTAAAAATAACATTAGACCCTTTACATCTCACTAAAGTAAAAGTATAAGAATGTCTTTATAAACTTGACTAAGGAAAGCCCTCCCTAAAGATGTCCAAACTTAGAAACCACAAAGCTCATTACTAAGTTGGCTAAGTGAGCATATGATTTAAAATAAAACAAAAAATAAACTACTAAAAAGGGTTAATGTCTATGGTGGTTTTTAAACATTTCTTTAAACTCTGACACTGTTCCCAATGAAAAGTGAAACCTAATATCTAATTTTTCTCCCCTTGACTGTGGGTCAGTCTGAGCTACTTGTGTCTAGCAAATGGAAGATGGCAGAAATGACACTGCAAGACATTGAGGCTTGTTCAGAAAGGGTAATTCCGTTTTGCCTGAACTTTTTTATGATGTTTGCCCTTGAAACATAGATACCATGTTATGAGGAAGCCCAAGCCACTAACAGAGGCCATATGTAGGTGTCTGGTGAACAGCTCCAGCTGACTTCCAAAGTGAATGCCAGCTTAACCAAGAAACATGGAAATGAATAAATAAGTCTTTAGAAGATTCTAGCCCAATTTTTAACCTGGCTCAAATGAGGCAGGATTGACCAGAAATAAGATGTCCCCATCAAACCTTGACCAAATTACAAGTTTATGAACAAATAAATGTTACTATTTTTTAAGCAATGACATTTTTGAGTGGTTTATTTACCAACAGAAAATTAGAACAGTATCTTTTGTATATCAAGAGTTTAAATACAACTGAAAATTTCAAAACTGCTTGAAAAAATTTGTCAGAGATGGAAAGGTAATGAATACGGATAATGCAAAGGTAATGCAAAGGAAAACATATGAATAATATACATACCCCCAAAATGCCTAATACTATTATTAGTTATTGGAGGAATTAAAATTGAAAGGATATAGTGAAAACACTTACCTCTTGTTAATTTGACTGTTTCAATTCCTCACAACATAAAGGATCTGTCAAGATAAATAGTGATACATCAGATGTATTTAATCACCATGTAAAATATGCATGAATAATTATTAAATCCCCAAATCAAGATGCTGAGTTGGTGAAATTTCCTTGTTTTGATAATAAATGATATATCTATAAATGCACAGGTATTTAGTTTGAGGTACAGAAATAAGAAAGATAAGAATTGGATTTTTATTGTATATATTACTGCATTTTTCCCATAACAATCATCTGTTACTTTTGTAATAAGAAAGAGACCAATTGTTTCTTAAAGTCCCATTCTGTGAAGGACTATGGATGCTTTGGAATAGGTGCCAAGAGTAGAGGGTTTTGCATAGTAAGTGTGAGTCTCTATTATGCTTTTACCAAGATAATCCATGCCTAAACCAGGTCAATTACTCCTGAGTGTGGGTTTTATTTTGTTTTCTGTACTCCCATAATCAATTATACCTGTGCTCCTCAGACAAGAAAAAGCCAGAGAAAGCAGGCTTAAAGGAATTCAAAGAATGCCTGGGTCAAGCTACTATTGACCCAAAAGAAATAACTGGGAAGAGTATTTCTTTTCCCATTTCTGGTCTTGATTTTTGCTCCTTTTTTTCCCAAGGAATACAGTCTATAAGGAATACATGTGATAAAAATAAGGTACATATGATTTTTAGTATTGGAAAAAAATAAGTAAAAAGAAATCCATTGTGAATTAATCAAAAACTATCTGCTGAATACCTGATATGTGCAAGCACTGTTATTGGCAGCACAGATGATTATTTTACAGAGTGATATTGAGACAAGAAGCATCACCAAATGCTTTACACAGAGAAAATCTCCAGTAAGTCTTCACTTAATTTCATTGATAGCTTCTTGCTATTGGGACTCAGAAAACAATACACCAAAATAAAGGCCTCAGAAGCAAAAATAAAAAATTTCTCTTAACTTTTCCTGCTCTCCTGTCTCTCAGTGCCATTGGGGCTTAATGTAGAACTAGAATCCCTCTTCCCCAGGTAGATCATAGAAACCAGAACCTCTTATCCCCAAAGCTAGCCATAAAATTGAAAAATATCACTCAACATTTCTCTATGCCTATCTATGTAAAAAACTGGCCCCACAAAAATGATCTGACCTACATTGTTTGACTGTAAGTCACAGGACCCCCATTCGTAGAGGACCTTGTCCCAGGCCCAGAAGGAAGGAATGCATGCTCAGAGAGGCTGAGAAAAATCTAGACAGAGAGGCCTTGCTGGGTTTTCCCACTCAGTCTGTTAGGATTAGATTATATTTCTACACAGTTGTTCATATTTTGTACCTAAGCATAAAAATGGACAATATTCCCTGTATTTTTGGGTCTTCATTCAGAAGGCTCCCATGTCATGTAAAATTATGATCACATAAATTTGTATGCCTTTTCTCTTATGGATGTGCCTCTGTGAGCTGATTTCTCAGCAAAACTTCAGAGGGACAAATCTTGACACCTGCAATGGAAACTTTAACTTTAAGTGAAATGACATACAGCATGTGCTCCATAAAGTGGTAATTGGTGTTCAACCCTCAATAGAGATTATAATCATGCTCTTTAACATAGCTCCTTATAATTATGTTACCTCACCAATGAAGTGAAAATAATGGTATCTGCCTTGATTTTATTCCCTCGTTGAAATAATTTTATATCTGCATTAACATCAAAATCTTCTGAATAGCCTAGTAATTGTTTACATAAGGCAAAAAATGATTATAAAAGCCTTAGGACATAAAGAACACATGAAACTTTCTCTAGGTTAGAGCATTTAAAAGACATAAAACATGATTCAATAATTTTATACGACTCTATAGCATAGTAGGGTAACTACGATTAACAATAGTTTATCATATATATGATTTTATATATATATATTTTAAAATAGCTAGAATAAAGGATTTTGGATATTCTGAACATAAAGATTTGACAAATGTTTGAGGTGATAGAAATGTTAATTATCCCAATTTGATCACTACATACTATACACATGTTATAGCTTCATTGTCTTTTGCTTCACTATATGCCAGACAACACATATACCTAATATGTACAATTATTGCATCACATGAACATTTAAAATAAAATAATAATTTTAAGACATTGCTACGATACAAAGTATCTTTTCCAACCACAATAGAATGAAATTAGAAATCAAACAGAGATATTTGGAAAATTTTTAAATATGGAAACTAAATAGGACATTCCTAAGTAATCAATGGATCAAGTAGAACTCATAAGGGAAATTAGAATATACTTTGAGATTAATAAAAGTAAAAACACAACATAATAAAATGTTGAGATGGAGCTCCAATCTTAAACTAGAGAAAGTACAGCAAACTAAACCCAAATAGTTAGAAGGAAGAAAATAATAGAGAATAGAATAGAAATCATGAAATAGAGAATAGAAAAATAATGGGCAAAATCAAGAACCCTAAATGTTACTTATCTGAAAACATCAACAAAATCAACAAATATTTAGTTACACTTACCAAATAAGAGCAAAAACTCAATTATTGAAGTCCAGGTGAAAGAGAGAATTTGAGTACCAATCTTATAAAAATTAAAATGACCTTAAGACAACACCATGAATAAAAATACATTAACAAATGAAACAACTTAGATGAAGTGGGAAAATTCCTAGAAAGGAATAGTCATTGAAACAAACTCATGAAAAAACAAAAAATTTGAAGAAATGCATTATAGGTTTAAAAGAAGTGCATTATCTTTACCATTATTTAATGGATGAGGTAACTGCAGTTTAGAGATGTTATTTATCTAAAGTCATACAATTTGATGCAGAGTAAAAAATGAAATTCAGTTTGTCTGCTTCTTAAAACCAAGCTCTGTCCAAACAACATTTAAGGCCCAAAACCAAATGTTCCACCTGTGAGAAAAGGGCTCCCAGAGAGCCGTGATTCTCATAATGCAGCTCTACAGTCAGTAGTATCAGCAACACTTGGGAACTTGTCTGAACTCTAAATTCCAGGGCTCCACACAGGCATATTGAATCTGAGTGCTCAGCTCTGTTTGAACAAGACTTCCAGGTGATTCTGGTAGACTGTAGAATTTGAGAACACTCGTATAAACACAGCAAATATTGGGAGCACTTCCTTACAAAATAAGATATTGAGGATGTCCTACTTTTACATTTTTTTAGGTTCTAATCTTTTTTTAAAGTGACAGAGCAATTTTCCATTGATGTTTGTAAATAGTTTTAATTAATGGAGCTATAAAAGATAAGGAAAATTTAGTAAATCTCCCAATTTGTATCAAGAACTGTGACAGTTCTAGGAAGCTGAGATTTGCCGGGATTAAAAGAAGGCCTCCCCCAACCCTCAAAAGTGAGAGACTTATCCCAGTATTTTGAGCCTGGCCCTGGGAGTTAGGCACAATACATTGACGCCAAAAGCTTCAAGTCTCCACTTTGGAAGGAAGTGTCCTTTAGGTTTCCAAGGAAACAGAGAATATCATGTTTGAATCCTTACTTGGGTTGAATCCAATTCTAAAAATCACCAGGATCTATACCCAGATGCATAGAATAAAATGGCTCAAGAGAAAAAGAATGTATTCCACTCAGCCACCATGGAGAAGACCAATTAATAGGTAAAAGCAAGAATTTGCCAAATGTACAAGTTCTTCCATTTATATTGTATAATTTTAAGGAATAGATTATTTGTAATCACCACTGCCACATATAGAGTTAACTGGAGGCAGAGAAGCAGATTCCTAGCCTTTAAAACTATGTGCCTCAGGGAGATTCAAATGCACAATTGAAAATATCCTTGAAGGAAGCCCACACAGCATCAGGCAGAAGTGCAGTTTCTAAGTAATTCATAGCTGATTCTAGGGCTGGTCTGTGTGTGCATGAATACACAATCGTATATGCCAGTGTATAGATTAGTATATAAATATACATAATATATATAAAACATGGAAGAGACTGAATATAGATCACATCAATTAAGAATTGCCCACATAAAAAATAAAATCTGTATTGAAGACAAAACAAGAAATTCCCCGGAGCCTTGTATTTTTAAAAAGTGATAAACTCAGCCAAACAACACATCTCAATAAAAAAGCACATAATCTTAGCTAGCTGTGCTGACTATGGTGGACCATAAAACAAACTTGTAGGAGACCGACCTCCAAAGTATCAGCACTGATCATCAGCAAAATTTATCATGACTTTTCAGTTAAGAAAGAAAGAATAAAAAGCACTCAGGATAGTATTTCATCTTTTTATTTTTTTAAAGAAAAGTATTCATTTTAAATATTGCATTTATCACTTTATTATGTTGTTTTAAAGGTGTCTCCCTCAGTTATGAAAGCATGTAAGTAGTTATATGTATTTTTAAACAAAGAGACATTTTTAAAACAGTTTTAGATTTACAGGACTTTCTCTGCAGAAAGTACAGAGAATTCCCACATGCTCTATCCCTCATCCCCCACCCTCTAGTTCTCTGGTTACTAACATCTTGTGTTGGAGTGGTACATTTGTGACAATTGATGACTCAGTGTTGATGCAGTATTATTTATTGAAGGGAATAGTTTTCATTAGGGTTGCTTTTTGTGTTATACATTCTGTGAGTTTTGATGCATGTATAATGATATGTCTATCATTACAATATTATGAAAAATAGTTTTACCACCCTGAAAATTTCTTCTGCTCTACCCATTCATTCTCCAACCCTCTACTCAACCCCCAGCCCTGACCCTCTGGCAACCACTGATCTTTTTACTGTCTCCATAGTTTTGCCTTTTTCATAATGCCATGTAGTTGGAATCATACAGTAAGTTGCATTTTTAGATTGGCTTCTTTCACTTAGCAAAATGCTCTTAAGATACATACATGGCTTTTTGTGGCTTGGTAACTATTTCTTTTTTTAAATCACGGAATAATATGCTATTGTATAAAATGTACCCAGGATTGTTTATCCATTCACCTAACAAAGGAGTCTTGGTTGCTTCCAATTTTTTGGCAATTACAAATAAATCTTATATGAACATTCATGTATAGGTTTTCTATTACTACCTCCATTAATTATAAAGGGCATATATAATATATTATTTCACACACATTTTTTAGGAAAATGCATCTTTGCATGTATCTTAGGTTTTCTTGTCTATACCAGATTGATGAAATTTTACCCTGCTTTTAGGAGCTGGGATTGAAGAGGGAGAAGAGATAGAATCAAAGAAGCTCGTGATCAGGAAGAATGCTGGTAGCCATTCGGGTCAGCCCCTGTGTCCTCAAATCCGTGTTTGGATTCTTCCACATTTCTCTTATATTCATACATCCATTGCTAAATATAGTTTTCTTTTTGGCACACTGAATTTTTTTAAATATTACTTTTTAGATTGCACTGTCTGAATTTCTATTTCTTAGGGCTACACAGAAATAGTAGACTTAATCATCTTCTTGGCAGCTTGAGATTTTTGAAGACATTTCCACATTCACCCAGTTCCTTCAAGCTATCTTCTTAGGATGTTTCTGAGTCTTTTCATCGGTATGATCTATTCATTTTATGTCAGATTTTCATATTATTTCTACCTAAATGTGGGGAACTGTGATATGTCATCCTACAAGCTAATAAGATACTACAAATTTAGCATTTTTTTATTACTTTAAGGACAAAATCAAGCTATGAATATGGCATAACACACCCACTGTTTATAGATCATGCTTGTTATTTGCATTGTTTAGTAGAAAGATTGACATATGCAGACACGATCTTAAAACCATGGCAAAAAGAATTAAGAGTACTGTTTAAAGTTCAGGGGAAACTATAAAACTTTAGGGTATCTCTCATTTAAGTGATTATAAAATTGCAAAATTCCATAGTAAATTTCTTCCATAAAAGATCAAACAATAACAAAAACCCAGAAAAATATGCAGTGGATTAAAATTACAATTTCTACATTAATTACACTGGTTGCAGTGGATCTCAGACTGGAAAAACAGAAAAGTGAATTGTGAATTAGAATAAAATTCTAGAAATTTTCCAATTAAAAGTTTAAAATATATGGAAGAAATTCTTACAGCAGAAAAAAGAGCTGGAGATCAATTAGAAGAAATAATATGTAAGAGAATATTGAAAAAAACAGAAAAAAATCAAGAAAACTTCCAAGATTTAAAGACAAAGGAATCACTAAATAGTGAATGAAAGTATTGAACACAAAAAGTTTCACGATACATATTCAAGTAACCTTGTACATTCAACTAAAAAGAGATTAAATGTTTTCACAAATATCTAGGAATGAAAAATCTCAAAATTTACAAATAAAAATAATATCAGTTATAATCAAACTTCTTTTACAACACTAATGATAAAATTTATCAAATTCTACACACAAAAAAAAATTTTATACATGAGAAAAAAGCTATAAAGGTTACAACAGAAATGAAAACAAAAAGGAAACAAGCATAGTAGAGAGCATTAATGAAGCCAGAAATTGGTAATTTGGAAAAAGCAATGAAATTGATAAACCTCTGGGAAGCCTGATCAACAAAGCAAACAATAAGAAAACATGAATTATAAATATTAGCAATGAAAACATACCTCACTGTGGATTCCAAAGATATTACAATGACAATGAAGGGATTCTGCAAAACAATTTATGACAATAAATATGAAAGTTTAAATGAACTATTTTCTAGATAGAAACACCAATTACTACAATTCACACAAGAAAACACAGACTATCTTAATTATTGCAAACTTATAAAATTAGTGGAATCTGTAATTTAAAATTTTTTAATGCACACATACACATGTATGAACAAATAAACCATCTCTATGATTAGCTGGCCTTTTATGGGAATTATTACTCTAAACTTTTAAAGGAGAAATATAAGAAATGTTACACAATCTCTTCCAGAAAACTGAAATAATAAATGAGAAACCTGTCAATTTGATGGTTATAACCTTGACCTAAAAGACAAGACAAAAGAAAGAAAAGACAAATAAGGGCTTTTAAAGAATGTCAAATCAAAGGATAATTCTCTCATAATTACACATGTGAAAATTCCCAAATAAAACACTAATAAATCAAAATCAACCATGTGTAACATAATACATCACCACGAAATGGAGTTTATTTAAGAAATGCAAGATTGGTTTAATATTTTACATTTAATGTAATTCTTCATTGTAACAGGAAAAAATAATATGTATTACAATAATGATACCTGTTTATATATAATAATTATATAATATTTCTAGATACATCTGTCTTTATAACAACGCACTATCTTTACATAGCAATAATGTAAATAGTAGGTAGTGTAAACCTTTTTCAGTAATTTTCTTCCTTTATTTATTCTAAAAAAAAAGGGGGATACATGTGCTGAACATGCAGGTTTGTTACATAGTTATATGCATGCCATGGTTGATATGCTGCACCTATTGACCCATCTGCTAAGTTTCCTCCCCTCACTCCCCACCCCCAACAGGCCCTGGTATGTGTTGTTCCCCTCTCTGTGTCCATTTGTTCTCATTGTTGAACTCCTACTTATGAGTGAGAAGATGCAATATTTGGTTTTCTGCTCCTGTGTTAGTTTATTGAGGATGATGGCTTCCAGGGTCATTCATGTCCATGCAAAGGGCATGATATTGTTCATTTTTATGGCTGCATAGTATTCCATGCTGTATATGTACCAAATTTCTTTATTCAGTCTATCATGGATGGGCATTTGGGTTGGTTCCATGTCTTTGCTATTATAAACAGTGCGGCAGTAAACACACGTGTGCATGTTTCTTTACAGTAGAATAATTTATATTCTTTGGGTACATATCCAGTAATGGGATTTCTGGGTCAAATGGTATTTCTAGATCTAGATCCTTGAGGGATCGCCATACTATCTTCCACAATGGTTGAACTAATTTATTTTCCAATCAACAGTATAAAAGCATTCCTATTTCTCCACAGTCTCACCAGCATCTATTGTTTCCAGACTTGCCATCTGACTGGTGTGAGATGCTATCTCATTGTGGTTTTGATTTGCATTTCTCTGATGATCAACGATGTTGAACTTTTCTTTCAACATCATTGAAAAAACAATGTTGGCCATGTAAATCTCTTCTTTTGAGAAGTGTCTGTTCATATCCTTTGCCCTCTTTTTGATGGGGTTGTTTTTCTCTTACAAATTAGTTTAATTTATTTGTAAATTCTAGATATTAGAACTTTGTCAAATGAGTAGATTGCAAAAATCTCCCATTTTATGGGTTGTCTGTTCACGCTGATGATAGTTTCATTTGCTGTGCAGAGGCTCTTTAGTTTAATTTGATTCCATTTGTCAATGTTGGGTTTCATTGCAATTGCTTTTGGTGTTTTCGTCATGAAGTCTTAGCCCATGCCTATGTCCTGAATGGTATTAGCTAGGTTTTCTTCTAGGGTTTTTTATGGTTTTCGATTTTACATTTAATTCTTTAATTCATCTTGAGCTATTTTTTGTATAAAATGTAAGGAAGGGGTTCAGTTTCACTTTTCTGCATATGGCTTAACCACTTTTCCTAGCAACATTTATTGAATAGGAGATAATTTCCCATTGCTTTTGTCAAGTTCATCAAATATCAGATGGTTGTAGATGTGCTATTTGTGAGGTCTCTGCTCTGCTCCATTGGTCTATATGTCTGTTTTGGGTACCATTACATGCTGTCATGTTTTGTAACGTTTTTACATGTTTTTTTACATGTTTTACCACCATCATGCTGTTTCAGTTACTGTAGTCTTGTAGTATCGTTTGAAGTCTGGTAGCATGATTCTTCCAGCTTTGTTCTTTTTGCTTAGTATTGTCTTGGCTATACAGAGTCTTCTTTGGTTTCATTTTTTTTTTTTTTTTTTTTTTTTTTTGAGATGGAGTTTCGCCTATTACCCAGGCTGGAGTGCAATGGCGCAATCTCGGCTCACCGCAACCTCCACCTCCTGGGTTCAGGCAATTCTCCTGCCTCAGCCTCCTGAGTAGCTGGGATTACAGGCACACGCCACCGTGCCCAGCTAATTTTTTGTATTTTTAGTAGAGACAGGGTTTCACCATGTTGACCAGGATGGTCTTCATCTCTTGACCTCCTGATTCACCCACCTCGGCCTCCCAAAGTGCTGGGATTACAGGCGTGAGCCACCGCACCCAGCCCTTCTTTGGTTTCATATTAAATTTAAAATAGTTTTTCTAATTCTGTGAAGAATGTCAATGGTAGTTTTATGGGAATAGAGTTGCATCTATAAATTACTTTGGGCAGTATGATCATTTTCATGATATTGATTCTTCCTATCCATGAGAATGGAATGTTTTTCCATTTGTTTGTGTCCTCTCTTATTTCCTTGAGCAGTGGCCTGTAGTGCTCCTTGAAGAGGTCTTTCACATCCCTTGTTAGCTGTATTCCTACGTATTTTATTCTCTTTGTAGTGATTTTGAATGGGAGTTCATTCATGATTTGACTCTCTTCTTTGCCTATTGTTGGTGTAAAGGAATGTTTGTGATTTATTCACAATGATTTTTGTATCCTGAGACTCTGCTAAAATTGCTTATCAGTTCAAGAAGTGTTTGGGCTAAGATGATAGGGTTTTCTAAATATAGAATCATGTTGTCTGCAAACAGAGACAACTTGACTTCCTCTCTTCCTGTTTGAATGTCCTTTATTTCTTTCTCTTGGCTTATTGCCCTGGCCAGAACTTCCAATACTATGTTGAACAGGAATGGTGAGAAAGGGCATCCTTTTCTTGTACTGGTTTTCAAAGGGACTGCTTTCAGCTTTTGCCCATCCAATATGACATTCAATGTGGGTTTGTCATATTGTTCCTATTATTTTGAGATATGTTCCATCGATACCTAATTTATTGAGAGTTTTTAACATGAAAGGATGTGAACTTTATCAAAGGCCTTTTCTGCATCTATTGAGATAATCCTGTGGTTTTTGTCCCTGGTTCTGTTTATGTATTCAATTCTGTTTGTGTTGATTTGCACATGTTGAACAAGCCTTGCATCCCAGGGATGAAGCCTACTTGATTATGGTGGGTAAATTTTTTGATGTGCTGCTGGATTCGGTTTGACAGTGTATTATTGAGGATTTTCACACTGATGTTCATGAGAGATATGGCCTGAAGGTTTCTATTTTTGTTGTGTCTCTTCCTGGTTTTGGTATCAAGATGATGCTGACTTCATAAAATTAGTTAGAAAGGAGTCCCTCCTTTTCAACTGTTTGGGATAGTTTCAGAAGCAATGGTAACTGTTCCTCTTTGGATTTCTGGTAGAATTCAGCTGTGAATCCATCTGGTCCAGGGATTTTTTTAATTTGTAGGCTATTAATTAGTGCCTCAATTTCAGAGGGTGTTATTGGTCTATTCAGGGATTTAACTCCTTCCTGGTTTCCTGGTTTATTCTTGGGAGAGTGCATGTGTCCAGGAATTCATCCATTTCTTCTAGATTTTCTAGTTTATTTGCTTAGAGGTGTTTATAGTATTCTCCCATGGTAGTTTATATTTCTGTGGGCTCAGTGGTGATATCCTCTTTATCACTTTTTATTGTGCCTATTTGATTCTTCTCTCTTTTCTTCTTTATTAGTCTAGCTAGCAGTCTATCTATTTTGTTAGTTTTTTCAAAAAACAAGCTCTTGGACTCATTGATTTTTTGGAGGGTTTTTCATTTTCTCTATATCCTTCATTCTTCTCTGATCTTATTTCTTGTCTTCTGTTAGTTTTGGATTCGTTTGCTCTTGCGTCTCTGACTCTTTTTTATTTATTTATTTATTTATTTATTTTGAGGCAGAGTCTTGCTCTGTTGCCAGGTGCCAGGTTGGAGTGCAGTGGCATGATCTCATCTCACTGCAACCTCCGCCTCCCAGCTTCAAGCAATTCTCCTGCCTCAGCCTCCCAAGTAGCTGGGACTACAGGCATGCACTACCACGCCCAGCTAATTTTTGTATTTTTTAGTAGAGATGGGGTTTCACCATGTTGGCCAGGATGGTTCTGATCTCTTGACCTCATGATCCACCCACGTTGGCCTCCCAAAGTGCTGGGATTACAGGCCTGAGCCACTGCACCTGGCTGCCTCTCTGACTCTTTTAATTGTGAGATTAGGATGTTAGTTTGAGATCTTTCTAGCTTTCTGATGTGGGCATTTAGTGCTATAAAGTTCTCTCTTAACACTGCTTTAGCTGTGTCGCAGAGATACTGGTGTATTGTTCCTCTGTTCCCATTGGTTTCAAAGAGCTTCTTTATTTCTGGTTTAATTTCGTTATTTACCCAGGAGTCATTCAGGAGCAGGTTGTTCAATTTTCATGAAATTGCGTGGTTTTGGGTGAGTTTCTTAATCCTGAGTTCTTACGTGATTGCACTGTGGTCTGAGAGACTCTTTATTATAATTTCAGTTCTTTTGTATTTGCTGAGGAGTGTTTTACTTCCAATTATGTGGTCAATTTTAGAATAAGTGCCATGTGGCACTGAGAAGAATGTATAGAATGGATATTCTGTGTATTTGGGGTAGAGAGTTGTGTAGAAATCTACCAGGTCCACTTGATCCAGAGCTGAGTTCAAGTCCTAAATATCCTTGTTAATTTTCTGTCTTATCGATCTGTCTAATTCTGACAGCTGATGCTAAAATCTCCC